CCCGTCAGCACTGCGTAATGATATGGCAGTAAATTATGGCCTTTCAATTTTTTGAGACTCTTTATGACCCTGAACTTCCCTATTCCAGTCTTCCTTTTGAGGAAGAAATGAAACCATTTGCAAACTGTAAAGTTTTAATCTGACGACATTCTCTCAACTTTCTCTTCCAGTCGGCCAGCTCTGCTTCCTGATCAGACAGCGGGTGTCTATGAGGCCGGAAGAAGCGCTCTTCTTTTTCGTTAAAAACTCCCTCCCTCCATCCAGCTCCCCGCTGTCTGCAGTGTATGAGGTAACTCAAGCACCCCTCCTCACTAGTGCAGAGTAAGATACTCAACAAAGGGTGTTCATTGCAGCAAAGATGAGTTTGAAGCTGGATTTAGTGCAGCAGTAAACTGTTAATAAACAATACATCACCAACACTCCAGAGATCAAGATAACACGCAGGAGAAACACAACCACTAAGAACAGAGGAGAATAGAAAACTGAGGGATATAAATACACAGGGGAAACAAAAGTAACTAAATAAAATGCTTCTGACTGGGACAACTAAACGGAACATAATCCTCCTGACCTTCATAAAATTCTAAATATATTTCTTTAAAATCGTATAATGGCCTTGAATATAATGTTCTTTTTAATTGGTAAATGATTAATAAATAAAGTCTTCAGTGCCATCAGAAATCATTCTAATACGCTGACTTGATGCTCAAGAAACAGTTCTCAATATTATCAAGGTTGATTTAATAAAAAGAATTGCATTTATTTGAAATAGAATCTTTTTGTAACTGTGTAAAAGTCTTTACTATTACTTTTGATCCATTTAATGTGTCACTGCTGAGTAAAAGTATACATTTCTTTAAATATAAATCTTATTAACCCTAAACTTTTGAACTGTGGTCTATATGCACACACTTTTTAACGTTTACAATTTTAATCAAATACAATTTCAAAATAGGATTTCTGATCTAAATTGACCACCTCTGTCTGTTTTTAGGAACACCAGGAGGAAGACCTGTTCCTGTATATGACGTACAGTAATGAGAGTGTTTACGGTGCTTGAGATGGAGGAAGAAAGAAGACAGAGAAAGATGATGCATTGTTTTACACACTATAATCCCACATTCAATACATTGTACCTACAAGGGACATTGGTCATAATGGGGACTAAAGGGTGCTGTTTGCATTTTATCAGTATTTTGGGGGAAACTAATATGTTTCTTTAAACAGATTCTTGGCAGTAAAGTATTGGATCTTGAGAATTGAGAGACACTAAAGAGAGAAAGAGAAAAAATGGAAGGTCAACACAGAGATAAACTTCAAACACAGTAGTAGAGTAAGCAAGTATTGATTTCTCTTTCTCTCCCAGGAGCGCATCATTTGTATGTAATGCACATAGGTTTTTGTTCTTGTTTTTCTTTTCTTTTTTGTAAAGTATTATCGATAACTTTTGTGCATATAATAAAAATCTTTCAAATATTTTAGCCTCTGTCTTGTCTATGAGTCTGTGCATAATATTTTAAAGCATTTGTTTTAGTACAGATTTGATAAATTCTTGTCCACTATTTATCCCGTTCAGACAATTTTAGACAAATTTAACATTAAACGCTTAAACTTAGAAGGTTTAAAAAGACACCAGCGGCTCGTGTTTGATATGTTTGAATTTCTTTTCCATTAGGATGAGACATGATTAGTGGTTTGATTGATTCTGACAGTACGAAAAAGAGAGAAGTGAGGGATATATCGTGGCAACTTGGCGGAGTGCAATGGGGAACTTGCGGGAAAACTGATCATGTGTGATGTTCAGATTTATCCTGGTGTGAGAATTTGCATCCGGTCAGCACATTTAAATGTGAAACTTGTCTGTTACTATGTCATTTGTCCTCAGAATAGTTGAGACAATAGGAGATTAAACCAGTAGCTAAAGAGCTTGCACCTACTGGGACCTCTGACAAATTAGTCTGGAAAACGAAACTCAAGGGAATTGGCAGACAGAAAAAAAAGCCATGGCAAGCAACAAAGAAGTAGAAGTGGAGTTGCAGGAGATTGCAACGGCTGAGGAGGAGAAGGAAAACAAGGATGAGGAGAAGCAGGAGACAACAGGTAAAATGATTATTCAAAAATGTTTTTATATAAGCAGTTAACAAATTGTTAGCTCTTCTTGAAGTTTAAAAACACATCTCCACCTTCACAGTGCGCTCATGAAATTGCATTATGTGAGCAGGGCAATACCAAATTTCTCTGATCCAGTCGTTATAAATACAAATCACAAAGCCTTTTCTCTTGTTTTCTTCTCATATCTAACTGTTCTTCTATTTATCTGCATTGTCTCCAACTGACATTGCAGAGGAAAACGTAGATGAAGGGAATGTTTACTCCTCTCTCACTAACCCATCTGAACATGTGTATGGCTTGCCCTCTTCAATCCGCTCTTATACAGTCAATAAAGGTAAAACATTTTTTATAAATTTTCCTATATAACTGCAAATTTTAGGCCAATTAGTTGCAAACAAAGTGAATAAAAGCACTCATTCAATGATAAAAATGCCAGGAGTTTGATTTCTTTAACGTTTTGTGTACATGTTTAAAATATTATTTTCAAAAAGTAAAATAAAAGTTATTAAATTAAAAGTTTTCAAAACAATGCTGTAGTTTGAAATGAATATTATTTTCGGGCATTCATGTGCATATTCATTTTATTATATCTTACAAAAGTTACAAAAATGTGTGATGGAAAGTCCAGCTGTCTATTTGGTCTAAAACACAAGTGAAATAAGACCAAAAAGAGGAACAAAAGCAGATGCAGAGGTCAGTTACAGCAAAGTATTAAATAAAACAAATATTATTTTTGATTATTTTGATTAAAAGGGTTTCCAGAAGATGTATACATAGTCAACACTGTAAAAAAAAATTCTGCTTAAATAAAAAGTAGCAGTGGTTACCAAATCATATATTATGTTATTGTTGCATGCTACATGCATCAAAGTGGCATTCAGGTGACAGTAGATTAGAACATAACAATCTTAAAGGAAATGTAAATCAGTTGTCCCCTTTCTCAGTGAATTCCCTGGAGCATAATGAAACATGATGGAAAATAATGAGATGGGGAGAAAATGTAGCTATATTTCATTGCATTTGGATTCTAGTGCAAAATGTTTTGAGTTCCCAAGAAACTATTGCTCACAAAACATTTTAGTTTTTTTTGCAACCAAATGGGAGAACCAACTCAAAGATGTATTTCCTGTGCCCCCGTGCAAAGACTATTAGTATAGTGCTTAGATATAAAAAATTTCACTGTACTACTGTCACAATAAGATCCAAGGAAGACAGAGGTCATTGAAAAGTAACAAGTTTCTCAGAACACTACCAACAGGCAAGACAGCGTGCAATGCACAAACACTGAACTGAACCCAAGCAGGAACTGAATACACAGATGATGACAAGACAATGACAGACAGCTGTGAATAACATCAGTGCCCATGGTGATTGATAACAGACATGCAGGTGATGGGATGCTGGGAAGTGTAGTGCCATTGAGGTGTGTGTGACAACTATTGTCATGTTAATTCCCATTGCAGTTAACCATACAAGTTTTTACAGCAGCATATTCTTTAGCCTACTTTTAAAATGACTAACATTGTACAGTTAGCCTACAGTATGTCGGCTACTTTTGCCAAAAATATTTGTTGGAATAGAGTAGTGCCTAATTTAATACGAAACAGTTGCTTCACAGCAGCATCCGATTATACTTAAAGATGAACTGAACTGAAATTTGAGAAAAGGTGATATAACAGATGTATTTTATTTATTCTCATTGGTACAATTTTTAAAATGGCAGAATTTGTTAAAAGGGATAAAATGGTACATTAAAAGTGTTGTTTTTGTTACACGGGCGCCGCCATGTTGGATTTCAACGTTCGACTACGTCACTGGCATGGTAAGCCACTCCGTTGCCTACCCGCACCAGCAGAACAGCCGTAGCTTGTAAACAGTCTGAGGCTCGCTGACATGGCTGAGGAAACAGATTTTTTAGCGACACACTATTTAGAGATGTGTACTTTCGTCAATGAGTACATGAAACGTCTGACAATGCATGAAATGTTTTATTTACACAAGTTACAAGTTCAATGCATCACGTTAACGTTACTCGAATCCTTGATATTCGGGTGAGGGGGAAAAGATCCCTGATGTATAGTTTACTGTAAAGGATGGGATTTTCTCCTTCCTAAATGCACCCTCGCCCATAGAGTGAACTGCTAGTACGCTGTTAATCTAAACAATCTGAGAAAAGTCTAACAAGTTAGCCCAGACGTCACCTATTCGTAAAATACCCTGTTACTTATGGGGCGCTCGCGTCTCAGCTCGGACATCCATTAGAGACAGCATAGCCTCCTTCAACACGTTTCTCTCACCGAACAGCATCCGAAATGAACGGTGCATGGTGATGTATTTTTCGCCGATCAATAAATGTCCATGTTGACCTCTCTGCAACAGATCGTCTCCGTGCAGTGTCTATGCTCCACAGCGCTCGCGCCCACAGTCACTTTCCCCCAAACGATCCTGTACTGCAAGTGAAGCCTGAAACTGATCGTCCTCCATGTGGTGGTAGTCAGACACTACCGGCCTGTCCCTCACGGGCTCAAATGCGTAATCCATGCCGTTAAAAGTGCTCATTTTCGTCTGTGTATACAGGACCTACAGCTGTTGTCTATGGCGCTCCGCGGGTCCTACCATGCCAGTGACGTCATCGGAACTGCCAGCGCAAACAAGCGCAATTTTGCGTTGCTTAAAAAAGCTATATTAATATATATTTTAAAAAAATGTTTAGTGTAATTTACTTTTAATTGTCATAAACAACACGTTTTCAACGTCGAAATTTTTCAGTTCAGTTCATCTTTAACTCAACCCAAGTGGTTTCTCGTTAGAAACTTCCGTTACCATGGCGCCGCAAGCCTGCATATATTATCTGTAATAAGAGTCTTTTGTATGACCATAGTTCACAATGTAAACCCCATATCTGGGACACTGCATATCTTGCTCTCTGAAGGACAGCGGGTATCTTATTTTGTCCGGAGAGAGCTTCAAGGTCTCATAAGGGCATACGAGGACACAGAGCCGAGATTGTGTTACGGAGCGTCGTCATCAGACTGTGTTGCTTGCTTGCGGACGTCTTCAAAGCATCTGCGCGCGGTCGAACCCCCCGTAGTGTGTGTGTGCGTCAGAGACTGTAAAAGCCGTAAGCTCGATCATTTAAAGAGCCGTGTTGCGGTCAAGTGCCTCTGTGTAGACGCTGCGTTAGAAGAGACATGTACGTAAAACTGTGCAATTTCGGCAAGTACGCAGACAGGAAGTCTGAGCCGAAAAAGCTGCAGCCGGATTCAGGTGACGAATGATGTTATTACAATTCTCTTGATTTCTGTTATTTGACGGTTCATGTAACGACAACGTGTATTATATTTTATATTATATTTTTCCAGATGCATCACCCGATATTCACCGGAAGGCTCGCGTTTACCGCATCATTTCACTGGTTCTTGTTGTCATCTGCGTCTTTCTGTTGATTGTGGTCCTTGTACTGTTAATTAAGTGTAAGTATAAATATAACTATCTTAATATGTAGGCCTAGAACTCGGAACCTATTAGGCTATTGTTTTAGTGACTTAACTTTCATTTTCTCCTTGCACAAAACTAACAGCTTGGCCTACACTGTTTATAAACCTGATAATAAATTGCAGAATAATGCAGAAGCTGCTTTATAATGTATTGTATTGAAACATTATGAAAGGCCAAAAGATAAACAGGAAAAGTCCGTTTTTTTGCATCCCAAATTCTCTAACATTTTTTTAATTAATTTGTGTTATTCCATAATGATTTAATTAAAGCCACTTTATCATAATACACTTTGATACAAAAATAAAAAAACAGACATTTTCCTTAAAAGTGTTCTAGACCTGTTGTACTACAATCAAGAATGATTAAGAATAATTTAATTGAATGTTTTTTTAGTGTGTTTGCATGCATCACAACTGGGTGCAGATCTTAAAACAATATAGGTGGGTTCAAATTATTATGGACAAAGAAAATGTGATCAAAAAAGAAAAGTTACACAAAATGACAAATATTGTAAAAACTTGCTCTAAATTCTTGTATCTAGATCTCAATGTTACATTATTATGAAAAAAATAAGTCTAGTAACTATGGTATTTTGGTGGAAATGGTTATTTATTTAGAGGTCAGGTGTGCTGTAACATTGTTCCACTATGTAGTGACTGGGACAGGGACTGAGCCATGTCAGATGGTAGAGGAGACGAACAGTTCTCCACCAGAACAGGAATGCAGCATGAAGAAATGCCAAGAGGTTTACCACCAACATTTTGGAGAAACTCGTGAGTTTGTGAACAACAGACATATGGTTGTCTAAAAGTTTTTTTTTTTTTTCCATATGCAACTTATTTTTACGTAACTCCGGAATTGTCTTGTTTCCCCACTTATATGTGCGCGTGCAGAACATCTGTGCAGTAATTGTGGCAAAGGCTGGCTGAGATTCGATAATACTTGTTACTTCCTGTCTCCAACCCGTCTGACCTGGCAGCAGAGCAGGGAGGAATGCCAGAAGAAGGGAGGAGATCTTGCCGTCATTACTAATGAACGTGTGCAGGTCAGTAATTCTGTAAATATGGTAAATATAACTAACAGGAGTGAATCTCATTTAAATGTATTTTTATACCTTTCGACAATATCTCATCTCTGCAGATGTATCTGAGCAGGAAAGGGAAGTTAAACTACTGGATTGGGCTAAGTCAAGTGGAGACAAATGAATGGACATGGATTAACAACACTGTATTGACAGTGAGGTGGGAAAGAATGTCACTGAAAACAAATCGTGATTTTTTTTATTTATTTATTTTTTTTGACTACCTGAGTTGGTTACCTAAAGGATGTATTTTTATTGCTGGCAAAAAATTTCCAATGATTTTTAAAATTAAAAAAAAAAAAGGTAACACTTTACAATAAGGTTCAAGTTTCAACATTAATTACCTTCATAGTTAACACAAACTAACAATGATCAATACTGGTACAGCATCTATTTAGATTAGTTGATTCAGCATTTACTAATACATTTGTAATACACATTGTATCTGTTAACATTAGTTAATGCACCGTGAACGAACACGAACCTTTTTATTAACTAACATTAACAAAGGTTAATAAATGCTATACAGATATTTGTTAATTGTAATTTCATGTTAGTTAATTGATTAACTAATGTTTACAAATAAGACCTTATTGTAGTGTTACCAAAATGTTCAAGTATATTTCCAACATTATTTAAGTTTTCTAAGTGGACAGTAATAATAATATGAATTTAAAAAATGTAATGTATTGTAAAAAATGTAATATGTATTCCCAATTTTTTTGTTGTTGCAGCAGATATATATATATATATATATATATAAATAAATATTATTTCGTAAAAATAGGAAATAAACTCAAGCACTTTTTACACCTTGTCCTTCAAGCCTCCATAAATAATTCATCATTTGGTTACAAAAACACAAGTATTGTAAAATTAATATATTTATTTAAATGTGATTTAGAAGCTAATGACTGACTATGCTTCTTCTGTATGCACACAGATATTGGGGAGATGATTCCTCTCCAGGAGACTGTGCCATTCTGGCTGCAAATGAACCACATGAACGGAGCTGGCGCCCATTTAACTGCAAGTTACATTTACAGTACATCTGTCAGAAGATCTAGATGTCAGAAGATCAACTACTCCAATCAAAACCAACTATACATCTGGATATCATAACTCAACACTTAATCTAATCATCAGAAATAGGGGCATATAGCGATAGAAACTATAGAAACTTTTTAGAACAGTTTTATTTGGATTACAACTGGACTCATTTCTAACTACTTATCATTTACACAAAGCTTGTTTATTTGCACTAAATATGGCTAATATTCACATGATAATGTACTGAATTGCACATGCCTTCTTTTTGAAATGTCTCTTTTTGATTAAACTTCCACCTTTATATGTAACAATATTGATGGTGCACACCTATATGTTTGCATATTATTAAACAGTAAAATAATACAGAACTATTTTAGATATACTTGAAATCCGGGCAATCCACATTTTCTTCATTTTCACAGTCTAAACTCTGGCGAATGAGCTGCCAGCATTGCTTTGGCCTCCTTCTGGTTTTAGCCATGTTTCTCTCAGTAAAATGGCTTTGTACTGGATCATTTCCAGTGTCACTCTTGCCTGTTTCCTCCTTCTCCTTGGCTGATTCTCCATCCTTAGAGAATGCGTTAACATAGCGTCTCATCTTTTGCACCAATAGATCATTGCGATCCTCCACTCTGGAATCATGAGATATTATGAAAGAGTAAGACAAAAAAAAATTAGTGATGCTTTTGTACTGAATTTGTGATTCCGGGTGACCTTACCGGAGGTACCAGGATTCTCCAAGGCCAAACGCCAGGCCACAGACACCCATTCTTGGCCACAAGCGCGGTGATAGCCTCCGTTCCAGCATCAGAATAGTGGCAACCACCTTTGAACGGAGAAACCCATTTTCACCCAACATGCATCCAGAACAATAAATGTGGGACTGAATTAGTCTAGCTACAATACCAACCTGTGTCCTCCAGAGTTCGTCACGTTCCTGGGTGACCCTCCACTGTGTGTCGCTCATCATGGCGATCAGGAGGTTAAACAGGAGGATGTAAGAGACCACGCTGAAGCAGATGTGAACAGAGTGCACAACTGGATGTGTGTAGATAGTGTGGTCCACTGGCAAGTCTATCAGGCCGATGCTCAGCTCAAACTGAGTGAAGACGGTGATCGGGAACGAGCGGTATGACGGTAAAGCTAAAGAGTCTTGAGTCATGTAGAAGACCCACAAGCCTGAGGAAGGAGACAAGGAAGTCATTATTTTACTTGACTAACTCACAATAGTGCCGGGTAGTAACTGATTATTTGTATATTACGTAATCAGATTCCAAAAATGAAATACTTGTAATTAGATCATGCGGATTATAATTAGATTATTATTCATTCCTGTCAAAAATTAAATATGGCGCTACCCTGACTAAGGTCTATTATGTAATAAAATAACAATTATCAGATTAAATAATCAGATTGCAGTTACTTTTTTATGATTCACAAAATGCAGTAAACTAATTATAATTTATTTTTTATCAAAATTGTAATTCTAAAAAAAGCTTAATAGCTTTTCAACTTGTAGTTCCTTCACAAACCCTAATGTAATGTTATGTTTAATGTTGTTGATGATAATGGCATATTTTCTTTCTCTTTGTATTTTTATATCAAATAGGTTTATCCTATTCAAAAGTAATCTAAAAGCAGTCTGATTGTATTGTATCGTCATGTAATTTGAAATCAGTAACAGACTACAATTTGTAAGCAATTTAGCCAGCTCTGCGCATTAATATATGGTGGTGCGACTGTATTTGAACTAACCGGTTGAGGATCCAATGAGGAAGATGAGAGACAACCACATGAACTTTGTCAAATCTCCAAATATTGTCTGCAAAACAACATTCACAAACACATTATTAAGCCATGCTGGTTCTACAAACCAACCACAGTGAGAGGCTGCCTCAGCAAAATGCTCCACCTTCTGAATCACAATCACATAGGGTCCAAGCATCTCAAAACCTCGGGCGAAGTACATAACATTGGACCAGCCGAGAACCAGAGCCCAAGCCATCAGCACAAGCTCTCCTGCCATTCCAGTGGTGCGCATCACGCACAAAATCACAACCAGACACGCGTAGCTTCCTCTGCCGCAGAAATACAAGGAAATTTAGTGCAAGTGAGTGGATGTGAGTCAAACTGATTTCATTCAACAAAAATGCAGGGTTTTCAAATATTTTGATGCCAAACCCTCCAATATGATTATCCCCAATATAATAATTTGAGCACCAAATCAGCATATTAGAATGATTCCTGGAGGATCATGTTGCACTGAAGACTAGAGTAATGTTGCTGAAAATTCAGCTTTGCCATTTCTATGTATATATACAGTATATTGTGATATCTTTTGGGTTCTTGGTCCCCATTTGAAAACCCCTGTGATAATAGACTTTACAACAAGATAAACTCACAAAGTGACATGGAAGGGGCCTCCAAGTGCAGACTGGCCGAAGTAGCGTTTAGCCCCCACTTTCAAAATACTGGGAATCTGAAAATGATTCAACATAAGGTATGAGTATTTTGGCATAATATCAAAAATACTTTACATTTCATAGCATAATGTTTTTAAAGTCAGACTGAGTAATGTGGGAAAATTTAGCGGACCTCTATCAGCAGAATAATGATGGCTCCTATGAGACTGATAATTTCTCCAATTAAACGCAGGTGATCTTTATAGGACTGATAGCTCTCCTAAACACACACACACACACACAGAGAAATTAGGTACTTGCATTTATAAAAACATTTTTTTTAACATTTATAAAAGTGCTTTGATGTAACAGAAATATCAAAATAATAATGTTTCACACCGTGAAGCTTTTTTGTATTTTTATGGTGTTGTCGTTGTCTGCTTTGGTGTAATTCTCAGGAATGTCCTTCAGGGGGCGGTATATACAACACAAAGTGAATATGCTAATATACAGCAGGTACACCAGCATTAATAACCTGTAAACAGATTAATAGAGCAACATCATTAGTTTAACTGAAATTCTAAACATAATTTCATATATTGTGTAAGACACACTACTGCTATTAAAGTGAAATGTTTTCTGATAAAATCATGCTGAGTATGTGGAAAAACTTGAAGCTGTTTTAACAGTCAGCAGAACAAAAATTCAGCTATGACAACATAACAATGTTCCTTTAAACCTCGACAATTCACATTACACTACATTTTGGACATAATTAAATCATAATTATATTTTCATGATATTACATTTGATATAATATACTATAATTTGTAGCTCAAACAATAAAGCATGCACCAATTCCCAGGGAATGCATGAACTGATCAAAATTTCTATCTTGACTACAATGCAAGAAGATCTGGATAAAAACAAATGTTAATAATTTGTTATAATAATTGCATCATAAAATGAAATTAATTGATTGAAGATACCATTATCTTCTCTGTGTAAACTACAAAAACTTTGTTTAAAAAAAAAAAATAGGTTTATGGTGTTTCTTTATAAAGTGACAACGCCAACTACTGGCCTTTTTTTATTTGCGAAAAACGCAAAGGGAAAAACCTTTCTGTTTTTAGAACACCATTGTTGTGTAAACGTACCCTGAAACAGCTGTAATTATTTATAGTTTATTAATTCAAATAAAAAGATAAACTTTCGAAATGCTGTGTTTTTATAGTATGTGATAGTGTGGCACCTGAAGTAATGTTTCCCATACAGATTCCACTTCAGCCTTACGAGCTGTCGCACTGGAGTCAACTCAAGAATCCTTCTGGCCTGAGACAGACACGGTGCACAAAGCACTTAGTTAAGAGATGAACTAACAACACCTCAGCTAAAGCACTTTGGCTCAGTCTGTTATTTATTATTATTAATGTTTAAGTTGAGTTTTTCCTGTTCTTCTTTGTCAACGCCTGTTTGATATGCTGTAGTGTGTCCTGCACACATTTACACACCTCTCTTTTCGGACTGCTGACAATAACCTCAAGCACTGAGAGGTCATCCACCCTGGAGTCAATCTCCGTAAGATCATAAAGGTTGGAGGTCAGTGGTCCCAAACTCCACTGAATAATACGTCTGCGGTTAACCAAGTGCTGGAAAGCCTGTGCAGCATCACAAAAACATCAGCCTATGCACTTTAAAAAGCTGCAAAATGTTACTTTGCAATCCTGTGACAGAAAAGATGCATGAAAAGATCTCTTTCTCACCACAAAGTTGCCCTCCTTGGCAGCGAGTTTGAATGGTGTGAGGCCTCTGTAGTTGGGAATCATGTCTAGTGGGATTGGGGGGTCCAGATCTGCATCTCGTGACAACAGAATGTCGAAAATCTGACATGCAGTTGTTTTATTGGGCTGCATAACCAGCAGATGCAGGATGGTATTACCTGTTCATGAGAGAAAGAAAGTTACAAACACACAAGCAGATATACATGTCCAATTGGGAGTAACATATTTAATTAGGCCAGTAAGTTATTTTCTCTTACCAAGGGAATCCTGGGCCCGAATATTAGCCCCAGCTTTTATCAACATGGACATAATTTCTTCATTACCCACACAGCTTGCAAATGCCAGGATGTGTTCACCTATATTTACAAAATGTATGTATGTATTTAACAGTCATGGGAAATAGTAATAGTGATCTCTCTTGATGCTTATCCACATTTCAACTTCAAGGGGTGATGAACTGAGAAATCAAATTTTCCTTGAACTTTTGAAATCTAAGAGGTCATCATATTATAAGAATATCCTGTAAGTTTCAGAACTGAAAACATCCTTGTTAGTCCAATAAAAGCTTTTATTGACATCACGGCCAGTTTAGCCACGCCCACCGATTCGCGCATTACACGCATGGCTAAATAACATAGGCCTACCTCGTGATGACAAACCAAATCCAGATACCAAGCAATACAAAATATTGTGCAGTGCCTGGTTGTGGAAGAAGACAGTCGCTGCATAAGCGATTGAGTTGAAACTCATTATAATATGCAAAAATATTAATCACTCACAGCAGTGGGCGTTTACTTCCAAGTCTTGAATGCGAGACGCCCATAAAAACGAGTGTTTTTGAGCTAGGCTCAAAACTAGGGTAGAAAATAGCCTATTACTTGTTAATTTTTTATGTTTTTGAACTTAAAAACCAGGCGAACATCATAAGTTGACCTCAGACTGACAACAATATAATTTTTTTTTAAAGCCAGTTCATGACCCCTTTAAAATATTTATAATTAAAAGGATAGTTCATCCAAAAATAAAAATGTTCTCATTTACTCACCCTCATGCCATTCTCAATGTATATTACTTTCTTTCTTCAGATAAACACATATAATGTCCATATAATCCAAGTGAATGGGTGCTGATAGGTTGATGCTTAAAAAAACCACACACAACAATCCCAGTGGATGAATCAATGTC